CAACGGCGTGCACTTTTTCGACATCTCAACTGCCAAAAGTAGTCCGAGAATGTTGTGCTTTTTACATTTTGACTTGGAAATGTGCTTCGCACCACAACGGCGTGCACTTTTTCGACATCTCAACTGCCAAAAGTGGTCCGCGCCCCTAGTGTTTTGTACATTTTGACTTGGAAATGTGCTTCGCGCCACAACGGCGTACACTTTCTCAACATCTCAACTGCCAAAAGTGGTCCGAACGTGGTGTGTTTTGTACATTTTGATTTGGAAATGTGCTTCGCGCCACAATGGCGTGAAATTTTCATCTCTCATCTGGTCAGCTGGCTCCGCACCCGCCGCTTTAGCGAGCCTACTTTTCGACCCTCTGGAGCCACAAATCATTGGAAAAACACAGTGTTTCGCGACCTTCCCACCTTTTCACGCATCTGCATCTTCTTTCTTCTGACTCTTTCTCTTCTACTCTTCTTTCTTCTAATCTTTCTCTTCTCTGTGCCTCTTCCCTGCTCTGCTTTTCATCTGTCCATATTGTCGGAAGTTTGACTTCTAAACTTCCTTCGATAATAGGGATATGTATGGATATGTAACGGAGATGGTTATCTACTCCTATCGATGCGTTCATCTGTCAACTTGCTTCATATCTCAGGAAGGTCCAAGTCTCTATCTGCCCCAGCAGTCCCTCTCTCTCTCTCTCTGTGTTTATGCTCTCCTTCCCACTTCCACCGGAGCCCTCCTACCAACACCGCGCTGATGGCCGCCGCATCGGCCGCATCCACGCTTTCCGTGGCCGCGCAGGCCGATGGCTCGCTGCAGTCCAACAGTTTCCAACGCGATGGCACCCCGCAAGGCGCGGTGGTGGGAAGCAAGTCGGTGACTGCATAGACATAGCCTCACCGTGCAGGGCCCCATGATCCGGCACTGATGAGAGAGTCTCGTGGATGGGTTTGATGGATGGTTCTATGGATGAAGAAGTGGCCATCATTACCCATAGGTTTTCATGCTTCCACTCTCATGGGTACCCCGAGCTTGGCACCTAGAAACCCTGGTTTCATACTGCCCAAATTGATAAACCCTGAGTATTAGTTCGGGGGAACCCCCAAAATCTACTAGTAAACCTAGTAAACGGGGGTCACTAATCCTGGCTTAACATGATGATGGCATGAATTTTCTGCCCAGCAACGGCCCTCCACTTCGAAGAACTTCTGCAGGACGCTCACGTTCAGCTGGATGTCCACACTCTGCAGTTGCAGCGGTGCACAGCCCGGAAGCAGCTCCTTGGGAAGGGTCTCCCAAACACGCGTGGGCCATGTCAACCCGGAACCCCTTATGAAACTTAGAGTGGATGTGCAACACGGCTCGCGAAATCGAAGCAGCCACTCAGCCACTCTGCCAGAGTGGCTGGAGCAGCCACTCAGCCACTCTGCCAGAGTGGCTGACGCAGCCACTCAGCCACTCTGAGTGACTGAGTGGCTGAGTGGCTGCTCCAACCACTCTGGCAGAGCGGCTGAGTGGCTGAGTGGCTGCACCAAGCCACTGTGGCAGAATGTCTCAGTGGGTAAATAGCTAGTGCAGCTTAGCCCCTGGAGTGTGAGCAGTATTACCCAGACCCAATTTTTCTTAGGTCTGGGTAGTTTTCAAGTGATGTTTTATGCTAATTTAGATTTTTTTCGTTTATCTTGTAGGCACTGGGGCATATATTCTTATTGATTGAATGGAATTGTATGCAAACATCTGTGTTAAAGGGTTGTGAGAAAGAAGTCATGTGCAGCTTAGCCAATGGAGTGTAAGCAGCATTACCCAGACCTAATTTTTCTTAGGTCTGGGTAGTCTTTCAACTGAGGTTTTATGCTAATTTAGGGTTTCTTCCTTTATCTTGTGGGCGCTGGGGCATGTATTCTTATGGATTGAATGGAATTTTATGCAAACATCTGTGTTATGTGAGAAAGAAGTCATTAGCCATTTGTGTTAAAGGGGTTCGCTCTGTGGGTCTCTGCGGATCATCATGGTGGAAGGAATGAGACATTTGGTTATA